ACTAGTTATTGTCACCTCGTTGGCGTATGGTTGTGGGTAAGAAAGCTCGCGGCGCGATGAACATGCAGTCACAGATGTTGCCACGCTCCTGCCGTTTGATTTGACATAACGGCAAGTGTTTTATCCTTTCATCTTTTACTCTATTTGTAGAAGTGGAAGAACCATTCGCTATCATCTTCGAAATTAATCGTTATGCACTTCAGGTCCTGAGATGACGCTTTCTTTGCTGTTAAATCTGGAAGTATACGAGATAATCCCTGGAACTGTTGCTGATGCTGGTGTGATCCTCTCCATTCACGACTCCAGTGACACCCTTTCCATACAGTACAGCACTGGCATCCACCTGGAAGCAGGAAAAATGGTCACCATTCCGATAAATGAAGTCAGAAGAGTGCGTTTCCTTTACTAAACTGCTAAGACTCCTATAGTCAAGGCTCTCCTTGCGCAGGGTTGGCGACCGTTGGCGACGTTTTTTACCCATCGCAAACCGTCGATTGAACAATATTAGTATCAGTATTGTAGGCATAAGAACACTGTAATCGCTTGCTGTACACAATTGCATGGGCGCAAGGTGGGAAATATACGTACATAACATCTGGGGCCGTAAGGTATGCTTCCCCGAACAGGAGAGGAACCCCTCCCTGGTAATGTATGCTCTCCCCGAAAACTCTCGGGGAAAGAAAATAGCATCGGTTCTCGGGTATGTCTCCCAGACTGCATGTCAATTGCAAGGATATTTCGCCGATTGCATGTCAATCGGGGAGAATCCCCCGAGAACTGGAGGCGTGGCCCTTTCCCGAGAGTTTTCGGGGAGAGCATACCTTACCAGGGAGGGGTCCCTCTTCTGTTCGGGGAGGCATACCTCAAGGGCCCTGGTGGGTTCAAAATGGGGCCGAGGAAGTGGAGAAGAGCTCGAAGGAAGGCTTTGTGAAATCATGAAGGCGGTAGCTAACGATAAGAGCCAGACTGGAGAGATAATGGGAATGAGGAGAGGCGAGACAGTCAGACGAGGGATTGACAATAGTTTTCATGGAATAACTTATTGTCATTTCAAGCATATTAGTAGTTTACACATGGTTAGACTCGCCACAGAGAGGCGAGTCTATTGCTGTAAAGATCTTTCCATTTTACCCGCTTTCAAGGAAGTTATAATGGTGCGACGGTTTGCGACTACAGAACCGTCGCAACGCGTAGATGTTACAAAAGTTAGGAGCAGTATTGTACATATCGATTCGTCAATTGTGGAAATTCTATAAACCGCTAAATCGCCCGAGCTCGATATCAATGCTAAATGTTTACGAAGTCATGATAAGTACCATTTTCATTCCGCATGCTACTGCGCGCATTACGCGACAATCTTCAGCAAAATTGGACAGCCTTTGAAATTCATGTGACACATCTTCCAAAACATCTTACTGTTAGCCACCTAATATTCTGCAAGTTGTCCAGTTTCACTAAAGCCCACCATGTGATGCGCGCGGTTGCGTGCGGAGCTAAACTGGTTGTATATGATAATTCTCATATGATTCAAAGTATGTAACCAGAACACAGTTCATTGTAGTTGTCACGGTACAAGCAGTACTGCGGTCGTCGTGCTGTCGGGCCGTTTTCTCCGATGCAATATTCAAGAGCAGGCTGCCAGTGGGTTGCAACAACTCTGGAAGTAGAGAAAGCCTGCCGATGTCATCCTCTCAATAGCCCATTCAATCAGTATTATTTCGGTGGAAAGAAAATGGTGAGTGCAAGCATGGAATTTGCTCCCAACGTACAGTTTGGATATTTCAAACAAAATATTCTCCATCACTGAACCTTTGTGCTAATAGTACTGGGAGGCACGAGACGGTAGTCGGTATCGTATTGGTGTATTAATTTGCATCAAGTAATTAGACAAAAGCTGCCATGAGGTACTCTAGTGGGGATAAAAAGCAAAAAGTGCCATACGCGGCACAGACGTCACATATTCCGCGATTGCTAAGGATGGCAGCAAGGCTAGTACGCCAGCGCCGTTGCCCAGCATTTTTGAGTCGCAAAAATGCGCTTGGGACCCCTCCATCCCACTCTAGGAGGGAGTACTTCTTGGCACCTAATCCCGACCCATGGCTTTAAAGGCATGCCCCAGGATCACATTAGTGTGGCTCTTGTACACGAATGCGAATGTCTTGTTGGGAAGTGGGC